TCCCCGAGGGGACCTGGGGAGGATAGAGAGGTTTCTCTTCTAGATCCGGATCCGGATGCCACCTCTCTTCCGTCGACAGAGTTCCTCCCCAAAACTCCATCGATCCGCGGATCTTGTTTCATTCAGCAGCGTCTTCGTCGATCCGACCTCCGACGACGCCTCTTCCCCTGGCTCAATCTTCACTTGAGCATCTTCTTGGGACTCACGGTGAAATCCCGAGTCACCAAAAGATCCGGGCACGCGCACCATTGTGGTGTAGCGGGATCAGCAAAATCTGCGAGATTGCCAGATCCAACTTACCAACTGCGCCCAGACACCGACTAACGGAGGGGGTCCCCCGATGATCCGTGTTCTGCTGAACTTTCCTCACCTTGTGTACCCGTCGGTAGGGCGGGATCTGCTCTCTCGGTAACTTCCGAAGAGTTCAAGTGGTGAAGCTTGAGTGTCTTGGCGAGACGTGGGGATGGGGTGGAGCAGCAGTGGGAAATCTTCACTCTGCGTCCGTGGATGGTTCCGTATCCTAAGCGAATATTCGAGCTTATGGATCCGGGGCCTAGATCGTGGATCTGGCCGTGGGGTTGCCTTGCGGGTGTGTTCCCTTGCCTTTGTGCTGTCCTTTAAGTCGTACTTGCCGCCTCCTGTGACGGGATCTTGAGAGTTGAGAACCTCTAGGGTGTAACCGACCAAGTAGTAAATTCGGTTAACCTGTCGGATCTGCACGAGTAAAGGAAAAGCTCACTAGGTTGTAGGATCTGGCCAATGTATTATCCAGTTATCGCTACCAACACTAGATTCGCAATTCCCAACCTTCTCGGAGCTCGTACGGGCCAATGTAGTTCCGGTTCTTGAGGGCAGGAAGGCACTTGCGTGATACTGTGCAAATTGAGGACTGTATTGATATTTAAGCCTATACCTGCCTGGGTTTCTACCTTCTATGTCTTTCATCTGCTAAATCCCTTACCAGGCTCGGCTGCATGTCCCGTCTTCCCTTTGACCCATCATCCAGCTGGTGTTATCTTCAGATCCACCGGATATATGACGTAATCATCATGG